AAATAATTATGGTAATACTCTTACCTTTTTGAAAGCCATAGTTGTAATCCACTTACATCAGGTTTTACTGCTGAAACAGGATTGTATGCCTGAAGGACTGGGGGTAATGACTCATTGCTAGACAGTGAGAGTCCATCTTTTCATCCTTTACTGTCCTGCATCACTAACAATTATACACAAAGAACCCTTTGAATCTTGAGTTTAGAAACAAGTTGTTCCACCAGAAGCAGAGGCAATAAAGCCTGAGTTCCTACAGATCTGTGATTTTGTCCTTCTATGGTTCCAGTCTCTTCATTGCAATATCCCAGCTCTTCTTTACAGTCTCCCTCATGGATGAGAGACAGTGCCACTCCCGAGTTATGCTAGTTTAGTCTCTGCTTGGCTGCTGCTGAAGCCTACACTGCTTCCAGTATGGAGCATTGATTTGTGCTTCTCCCTTTTACCTGGATGATGATTTGTAGTAGACTATAAGAACAGTGATAGCTCCAACACAATCTCTTTTTCAAATCTGGGCTTACTGAGCAACAGGTTCAGAAGTTGTGAGGGAGACTGACAGACTACACTAAAAATAGTATTTAATCCATAGAACGGTCGGAAGAGACCTTAAAGATCAACTAGTTCCAACCAATGCAAATGTGTAGTAGGTTTTTGTATGACCTTATGTATATATTAAGGTGGCTATGCACTGAAACGATGAACTGAAAGAAGATACAATTAGTGTTAATTTGATTTCCTTCCTCTTCAGTCACAGCATGTTGAACAATGCTAACTGCTATTGACATACCTCATTTGTGACTGTTAAATGGACAATTCTCTACATGGAAACATGTTCTTTGATTGAGTTGCCTCAATGGATTCTTTTGCACTGGCTACTGGATCATGGGCTCAGTTCTTCACTCCCCACCACAGCTCCAGCTGGACTAACTGGCTTGACAGAGAAATAGTAGTGTTGAATGAACACCAGCTATACATCATTATTGTTTTGGGTTAAAAGCATGCTACACTTATGTTACACTGATGGCATCTATCATAAAGGATTCCGGGTATTTAAGAGCAGACTGCATGTGTTAACTTTTTGGCTAAGTAGGTAGAAGCGGTAACAGTGGTGACCTCAGGGGTGGCAGATATATTGTCTAAGTTAAAGCACAATACTTTCAGGTACATGTTTACCTGCTAGATTAAAAATAAAACATGCAAGTAACTAATACTTAACTTTCCAAATGAAGCTAATGAGATAAACTTGCTTGTCTAACTCCGTGCCTGACACAGCCCCATTAATGGAAAAATAATGCATCAAATTGGTAACTGTATTCCTTTAACATTAGTCTTCAGTATCCGCATGACTTACTAGCCTGCATTTTCCTTTACTCAGTGCAAAGGCAGACAAGTCATCTGATAAAATCATGTTTCTGAAGGAAAGAGGGAATACCTCTTCTGATATGCAATCCTCAATGCTATCAACTGTAATTCTGCAGCAATTACCTGTCATTTTAGGCTCCAGACTTCTCTAAGGATCACCCATAATTCTGAAAAGTCTGCTTGGGACTGTATTACAGTAGGGACCACTTTTACTAAGTAAGTACTCTGCTAATGGCATCGCAATGAATCAAAATACCAAATTTACAGCCAATGCAATTTACATGAGAAAGCTGGTTTGCTTTCCTCAGCTGCTCTTGCTGAAGTTTCTCTCAACTATCATCTCTCAACTGTATCGGTTGGTGCAGAATAAACATTAAAATTTTGCATCCAATCTTGCTTTTGATCATGCGTTAATCCTATCCTGGTGGCAGCTGATATCCTTGCTAGCAATCCATTTTTCCTCTCCTGAATCATGTAGTTTGCATTTTATAGTAGCTACCTGTCAAATCTTACAGATGAGTTCTTATATAAGAATTCTCCCATGCAAAATAGCTTTGTCTGTGCCGGATACTTGGACTGGTTGCTAGAGTAACGAAGACCATCATAGCTTAACTCTGAGAAATATCAATGATTCTCATGCTCTTTGTTCGGTGGAAGCTTCTAGTCTGGACAGCAGTCCTGGCTCCTTTTTCCATCCAGCCGGTCCAGGGGGTACCGCAACTCGGGTCATCACTTCCTCAACATTGCTGAAGGACCAAACTCTGGACCTTTAAGCAATTTAGACTACTAATGTGCAAATCCTTTTCTGGAGCTAGCATATGGATTAGGTTGTCCCATAAAGTAACAGCTATGGGCACTCATCTCAACACAGAGATTGTTCAGTGAGAAACTGCATATAAAAATGAGATACACTAACATCTACTATGGCTGAATTAAGTTTAAGTTAAAATTAGATGAGAGACCACACAAATTTAACTGTAAAATAGCAAGCCTTTTTGGTAAAAAGCAGCTCTTTCAAGGTTACTTTAGGAGAGCAACAGTAATTAAAATCACTATTACTGGGAGTTAAAAGGGGAGGTTATCTTTAAAAGAAGCTCACACACAGGACAGAAAGTTGCTAGTTAGGTTAATGCAGGAGGGAGCGGATGCAATTTTATTTACAGAAGGTTCACATTCCATCTTTGAAATTCAGAATGATTTTTTGATGTGGGGACATTGCATAAAGTTGCCTAAATATAGCAAAAAATGCTACTGCCATGCAGTTGTACAGGAGCCTTGCTCAGTCCCATTTTGGAAGGTGTGAAAAATAACCTGTGTAGTATTTTCTACACTTTGATTGGAAGTACAGTGCTGTTTTTCAGATGTTTAGGAAAGGGTATTAATTTGGGAATATATGTTACCAGCAAGCAGCATTAAAAAGTACATTATCTTTTCATCTAATTAGTGAACTATAAAACTAACATTGTAAGTTGATCATGCTACTCTTGCAGGTAAAACTACAAGAATCAACTATGTTGCAATATCTAATTTTATATTGCACTTTCAAGTGACTAAAAGCTGATGGTGCTGTGTCACATCTAAACAATTGTATTTGAAAGTCAGAACCTTACAAACATCTCAGTGTTGCACACCTCTGCATTCAGGGAATCCCTCTACAAGAATCATCAATGGTTTTGCAGACTCGGGGCTGAAGACTGGTATAAAACACCTTCCTTAAGTGTATTTTATCCTATAGTGATAAAGCTACCTTCTAAACTACTAGCTGGAAGGTGCGTGAGCCTTATCCTTGCTCCCCGCAAGAGAGAGCCTCCTGTGGGCACTGTTGTCTTCTACTGGGAAAGCTCTGCAGAGATGAGCCTGGCATGGCACGCACTTTAAGTACACCATTATTCTAGCTAGTTAATGAATAGTTTTCATTTTATCAATTTGCTTTTCACAGATAGGTTTTGGATTATTGGAATTCACTTTTCACAGACCTGTAATCTCTGGATTTTATAGCCTATGAGGAAGGGCAGCAACTGGTCAGAAGTCTAGACATGGCATGTTTGCCTAGTGTGCATTCCAGCTTCACACCTATTCCACATACCAAAGTACATTCAGCATCACCCATACTTTCTGTGTTCACATTCTAAAATTCCCCAGCATGAGAACTCTGTGGAAAACAGTTTACGACAAACATATGACAACCACCCTGCACTCTTCTATACCTGAGCACAAACTGGCATCCTGCTCTGTGAAATCCACTGAAGAAGGTAAGCCAATGTCAAAGGCAGGCAGTGTAAAGTCTGTCAAGGGACAGGACGAGCATCCTGCAGAAGGGGGCACAAAGATGACCAAAAACCACCGCAGCAATTATGGAAACAGCAACCCTCCACCCACACTAGCAGAGCCAGGACTAACAGTAGGGAATGAGAATCCCTCCTACACAATCCCAGCCTCTGTTCATCACAGCATGAGGAGCTACTGTGCCATGTGGCAATTTGCCCATCTGGCACAGTTAAAACATTTGGATTCCTTCCACTCACCTTCTGTATCACAGTAGACTGTGCCATCACCTTTTAGCTCTTCTAAAGCAGCACAGACCACCTGTCATCATCTTCTAAGAACCACTGTGTTTCTTGTACAGAGGGATCTTAACAGACTTAAAGGCAGTACATCAAAAAATTCTCGCTCTTTTTCACATTATCTCAAGCCATCTTCTGTACAAAGTGGCTCTCCCTGTAGTATGTAAGTTGAGGGGTATATGCGGAATAGAAAGCAAAAGACACCACATAATTAAATCTCATAATAAATCTCTTCAATACAGAATTTAAATGCCGTATTAAATGCTCTACAAGCTTCTCTATATATATTATCATTGAGACATATTCATAACTACAGTAATTAGTTTTTTAAACACAATGCAACTTCCCAGGTTTACTTCTCTTCAGAACAAAACTTCAGCTGGTGAGTGGAGATTCTTACATTATCAGTATTTGCTTTATGAGAACTGTTGCATCTATTTTCTGCTGAGCTGCAGGAATGTTTTAATGCATTCCATTTCTAAGTGCTTTCTTCATCATTTTTGAATGCTGCATCAGAGCTCGACTGACAATCGTATTTTGTAGGCTTTACTTTGGCAAGTGTATGAAAGCAATTCCAGCTCAGTGCATTGCTACACATGGATAACTCCTTGTTTAAAAAAAACACAAAGCAAAATCTGTATTCCTTTTCATAGTAATGAAAAAACATAGAATCCTATCATAATTAAGCAAGCAGATTTGGTCTACTCTAATAGAAGCAGTCTGAAAGATGCAGCTTCTCTTGGCAAAATCAAGAGCTGCAGCTTTTCCTTAGGAGAACCGATACATAAGAGTGGCCCTCTTCTCTCGCTTCCAGAAGTGGTTAATAGGTGCTGCTTTGCAGATGGACAGTTTAGCCAGAAACATCTAAATGAACATTTCCTTTTAAGAAACTCTGACCACGCTGTAACACCTACTGTTACAGTTTTATATAAGAAACAACACAAAATACTGCAGTGACTAACTGCAGGTGGATCTGCTCCAAAAGTGGTGGAGTCTGCAATGTGGATAACAATCTTTGAGCTAAAGCCAAGGAAAACATTGTTTGAATTTCACAGAAATAAGAAAACTGACACTACATTCCTAATACTTATGTTTATTATGAAAGTGTCTCCAAATAAAAATAGCCCACAATACTGATTGGTTCCAGAGATTTCATGAGGAATCATTATTTTCCATATTTAAAAAAACCAAACCGAGTTAAACACAAAATAACTCCCAAAGTTCTACACAACAGCTATACATGAAAGGACTTCTAGTTAGCACATCACTGTGTCTGGGACAGTTGAATTCCTATTCACTGCATTTCTGAAAGAGTTGCTCAAGCACAGGATTGTCATGAAAACACAGGTGAAATAGTGTCATCTGCCTCACCCTGACTTGCAACAGGCAGTCAACATGCACAGTATGGTATGAGAGCTCATGTATAAAAGTTAAACCCCAGGACTGCAAGAAGCTGAAGCTCAACAGAAGCCAGAAAATGTGTTTCATTTCACAGATCATTTTAGGTCATGTAAGACAATAATTTTTATCTTTTGCCTGACATGTGTAGTCATTGACACAGCTCCAAAATATAATATCATAGTTTTTCCTCCAGTTTTGTTTTTTTTTAAAAGCAATTTCAAAGACTGAGAGTTCTTTACAGACACAAACTCTGTGTTTTCATTGCAACTACAATCAGAAATCTTTACAATTTGGAGGTCATACACCTACACCTCTTTTCCAAACCTCTGTAAGTGCTTTTTTAAAAGAAAAGAAAAAAATTAATAAGGTTGTCTTACTGAAGTTCACATTAGGTCCCTGTTCCAAAACAAAACCAGTCAAAACAAGTAATACAAACTGGTTTTGATCTATGGTTTAAAGGCAACTGTAGTTTGCAAAACAGTGCACTTAGGCCTAACAGGGTCTGCATTACAGGAAGGGTAAAAAGTATTTGATAGCTCCTCTCGCACAAATGTCACAACAAGTAGACAACAAGAGACATACAAAAAAGAACTGTAGCAAAGAGATTAAAAAATAACAAAGCATCAACTATAGAAAATAGTGGCAGCCCGCATTTCTCTGAGAATACAGAAGGCTGCAGTAATGAGAAGATGAATGAAACAGGCATTAGGCTTCCTACTAGAATACCCTGTATAAAACACACACGGTGTCTAAATCTACCAGTGATGATCATCACTGACATTTACTGCAGGGTAACAGCTTTCGCCCTTGTGTCCTGTTCAGAACCAGAAAATGATTTTCACCTGAAACTGATTTAAGACAAGAATCACTTCACAGTAAGCAAAGCTTTAGTGCACCTACTTGCACCTCAGAGAAAGGATTTGGCATTGATGGTTGCACAGATTGGTCACAGGCTGAGACAGAAGCATGTGAAGCTGTTACACCTGTTCCAATTCTGGCGGAATAATTAAATAACACACAGAAAAAACTACAAAACAGCAACAAGGAAAGAGCACAGGACACTTTGGTATTTTAGAACTAGCACTATTTAACATTGATCAAGATCCAAAAGACTCCAATGTCCACCCTTGTTGTTTGATCACATATTCCTACCATTTTCTGCAATGTTTGTTTTTAGCTTTTTCTGAAAACCAAAACAACAACAACAACAAAATCCATAACAAACCCCAAACCACCAAAACATCACTTTCCTTTTTTTTTGGGGGGGAGATACAAAATATTCCAATATGGGAAATGCTAAACAAAGGGAGACTTGAATCTTACTTTATTCTGGGCTGGTTAGGGAGAATTGACAAATTCTTACTATTTACTAATAAACTTTACATATCATGTCTTACTTTTTCTACTTCAACATCTCAACCACTGTGTCATGTACTGGACTATAAAAAGGGAGCATAGAAGTTGAAGACAAATAGGTTACAGAATAAACCCCCTCATTTCTAAACTGACTAAAATGACAATTCTACAAAAGGTACAAATACACAGAACCTTTTAAGATCTTGCACTTAACATGAACCATCACAGTAATTTCAATCAATTGCCTGGAATATATGTAATTATCCTCTAAATACTTGATGGCCCTCAAAAGCACCTTGCAAAGAAGCAAATTCAACTGAAAAAGGAAACAGTTGCATGACATTCTCTCTGCAGATTGGAAGATGATACCGAAGTTTTGACATCTATTGGTTAAAACAATTACTTGAAACACACTGCCACTTACGATCACTAAAACACTTGGTCCTTCCCACTGGGAAAAAAAAAAAAAAGGTGTGATTTTTAATATTCATAAAAACCCCTGCAGCTTGAAAGTTTAGTGAAGCTCTCAGTGCTTCCTCACTCTCATCCCATTTCCCCAAATGTGTTTGAATCTCCCATCTCACCTATTTTCCAGACATACCTGTAATTAAGTTTATTCTAGGCTGCTAAGAATGGACTCCGAAAAGCCAGGTTTATAGGAGATAAGTCACTGGGATTCAGCTGAACCGTGGCAACTGTATACATCCTTTAGCGCATCATAAATGCAACTGAATTTAAACCTCAAGTAAAGAGTTTCAGTTCAAGTTGCACTATGTAACAGCGAGGACACACTAACAGCATATGTAGCCAGCAACGGTAAATCATCTCAAGGGTTGTAGCTTTGACTGCACATCTGAATCAACACTATAGAGCACAGCTGGGGAGGACCAAGAAGGACCAAAGGTCTCCTGCCTCTTGCACACAGACTGTAATTGGGAACTGCTCTCTACCCTCGTATAAACAACATGGTAGTACTATGTATTGTATGTTGTCTAAGTTGATACTTCAGAACAATATTCTATCCCCATGTAAGACAAAATATTTTGCCAGAATGCCATTTTTGTAACCAGCTTTGAAGAAGGGAAATGGTCCAGTGGAAGTAGCAATCAACACCATGAAAGAGGTGTGTTTAAACTGCTATTCTCAATTACCCTCTTAGCAGGTCATATTTCAGAAATTATGTTCATTCACTAATATCCCAGGATGGTTTTGGTTTAAAATCTTGGTATCATCTTGACAATTACTAAACAACTGCCATTTCAAATACTTTCCATGACAATCAGTGTATTTTCACATGTATAACCTGCCCTGCAGATAACTGTAAGAAATCAGAGGCCCAGGAGATAGATGAGAAAAAAACAGAGGCAGAGAAACTTTTGGGGGAGAAGATTTGAGTAAGACTCCCTTGCTCAATCAGATATACTCCTATAAACTATGCAATTGCTGAATTTCAAGTTTACCTGGCTTTTTCAAAAGATGCTCTGTAGGAAGTAAATCTGGACAGCTCTTCTTCCATGGTTTACAATTTCTCAGGTTTTTTATCTTTATCTCCACCTAAGTGGAGGTACATTTTTCATTCATGCCATTCTGCCCTTACTTTTAGCACATTTTTTGGTAACACACAAGGTCCCTATGGATAATAGAGGTTTCAGTAATTTTCAAGAGTGACAAATCTCAGTTTTTCAAAAGCAAGAAGTGGCAACACAACTTTCTTCAATGGAGTTGTATAAAATAGAGCCTTCAAACGTGTTTTATGGCATCAGAAACCATCTGCATTTTGCTATTTGCATAGGTGGAAGGAATCAGAAAGATATCCTGTCAGATTTCCAGCTGAACACAGCACTCCAATCCCTTTGTATATAGAAGACACATTATTACACATTAATGTTACATTTATTTCCTCCTTTTTTTTTAATTTTTTTTTTTTTTATATATATATATACAGTCTTTGGTCTGTAAGCACATTGGTTCTGTGTGCACATACACAATACTGTTGAACAGTAGGTTGCATAGAGTCTGTTACCCAAGAACCTCACCTACTTTTGGCACTGCTGTCACAAATCCCAGAAAAGTGTCCTGGCAAGATTAGCATCCTACATCAAACTTTGATCTAGAGACTGGAAGAAGTGTGTACATAATGTTTAAAAAGATGTTTATTTTGGGTCCTAGTTTGTCTTCTTTGGGACACAGTTTTTAGATCTTGGATGAAAAAGGAGTGCAAAATTATTTTACAGACACCCTTATTTTATTTGTAGACGTGATGAAATTCTGCTGAGTGTTCAAAGTTTGCTGTGATTTACGTTAAGTGAATTTTGCTCAAATTTCCATAAATTTAGAATACACTACTTCTAGTAATGTATGACATTCTGCCTTCTCTCTCGTTACCCTACCAAGAAAGTGATGTAATTATAAGAACAATACCTAGACCGTACTGTGTCCAAGGAAGCAATGAACCTGTCATCTGCTGTTTTTTCCATTATACCCCTGCTCTCATCCATCTGAACATGCAAGAACAGTTATAGGAGTGAGGTCTGGATTCACAATGGTGCACTTGAACAAACAACTTTCAACATGGAATCTCTGCAAAAAGACACTAATATCTGCAGAGGTCAAAAAATGTAAGGGGAAAAAAAAAAAAGAAAAAAAGAAGAAAGTGAGAATGAGTTTATCCTAACTGTTGACATCAATGCTTTTGGGCATTTGCACGACAAATCAAGTCTACTTCTAATGCAATTAACCACCAAACTGAATTTTAAATTATGCTAAAATAATATCCTACAATTACCACAGTTTTTTTTCCCCAAATTGCTAATTGACCACATTACCTACTATTTAATATATCAATCCAGTGTTCAAAAACTTTATGTTGGAGGAATGGCCACTGTGATTTGATAGGCAATTTCAATACCAGCACTTTTAAACACAAATATAGCAAAAATATCTGAAGCAGATCTAGAATATATAAAGCTATCTTCTATCTTACTGTAAGTAACAAATCAAGCAACTATTACTTATAGCAGACTTGGCAAAAGCAACAGGAATGGACAGAAGAGATCTGAGCGTAATGCTCTTCACTACTGAGAATCCCAAGAGATAAAGTTTGAGAATGGATAGTCCCTTTTGTCCAGAAGTTCCCAAAAGAATACAAAATAAATAATATTTCAAAGACAGTACAAGTGAAAATACTGCTCCCATTGTGTCAGTTACATACACATACAGCATGCCTACGTATACAGAATGGCGTGTTGTCTTCATTCACAAACAGGAAATATGGCAGTGCGCTACCAGAATGCTTTGATACTCCTAATTTTTTCTGACGCTGAGATATATGAAGAAACCGCATTCACAACTTATAATTTACTTCCAGTAGCAAACAGTTCTTTCTGTTCGTGTCTCATGATTGAACTCAAGGATTAATGCTCCTCTGAGCAAGTGCCACCAGTGAGATACCCGTTTGTCCCATTGGCACCGCTGGTCCCATTAGTGGAGATAGCGCTGTGTGGGGTCTTTGAACGAGGTACTGTTTCTTCCTCATCTGAGCTTGACTCAATGTCACTTCGGTCATCCTTTGCTACCTGCAGAATTTGTCAAAGAAGCAAGCAGTAGGTCATTGTAAGGAAACAACTGAGCTTTCTTTTCAAGAGAATCTGGGAATTCAAACATTTTTCAATTTGAGCTTTGAAGGCAATCATCTCAGCTTTGATGCACTTCTCTGCCTTTGCCTGGCTGGACTCACGTCAAACACAGATGCCTGCACACACATATGCTATATGCAAAGGCAGAGGGAGAACTTTGCACTGGTGCACTGAAGGTAGTATGTCCTGGTGAGGACACAGTGCTCAAGGCAAAGGCTTTTGAACAAGCTGAAGTAACCAACAATCCAAGCTCCCAAGTTCAATCCAGCCCTTGTCTCTCTGCCCTTCTATTACAGCTTTATTTCTTGTTCTTTCTCTGGGGTGCTTCTTTTTGACCTGGTAATAAGAAATATTAAACTCAACTTCCTCCCTGTCACCTCCCAACTCATTCTCTAGAGGCCACATGGCTCCAGGGAACAGTGCTACAAGTGGCAGTAGGAGACGGGAGTACTGGTTGAAACATAACTCACCGCACCAGGTAACTGCAGTCTGCAACTTCAGGCAAGTGGTGAGAAGGGGACTTGGAAACCATGGACATAGTCCACTTCAGTCCCTATCACAGGAACCACAAACATACTTGAGCAGGGTAACTGACTGCCTCATCATGTGACTGGAAAACTGTTTCAGAAACAGACTGACCTTAATTGCTAGGGATTTCCTGCTACTTTCCAGCTGATTTCTTTCCTGCCAGTTTATACCCATTTACTAGATGAATGCTATTCCTTAGGTTGAGTCCACTCTCCAACTTTGTCGAGCTCTTTGAAGGTCACAGAGGAAGTTCACTCAGGTTGAGAGATGAGTCCCTTTTGAATCCCTGAGGTGACTTTGCTTCAACCCATTCAGTCACATGCACCCAAAACAAGCAAAAACATGAGGGAGCCAACAACAGTCAAGTTAAAGAGAGCTAACGGGGCAACAGAAAATAAAATTCTGCAAACAAAAGGCCCTGCCCCTTGCCTGCCCTGTTTTTAATGTGATGTTTTCCCTAGGGAGGTAACAGTAGCACTGCCAACCTATAAGATTATAGGATAACTCAGGTCAGAAGAGACCTCAGAAAGTCTGTGCCCAGCATCCTGCTCAAAGTAGGGTCAGCTGTGGAGTCAGGTACCATTACCCAGATCTTCACCCAGCCTGATCATGAAAAACCTGTTAAGAGTGCATCAGATGAAGTAAAAAAAACCAACATCAATGGAAAGAGGCCTAAAGTCTAAGCTACATGCAGCATTAAAGATGCAGCTATCCATGCCTGCTTCTACCCATTTGTATAGCTGAGCTTCTAATTCGTTCAGAATTTGTTCACATCCATGCTGTGCCAGTTGCCCCATTGGGCAATTACAACTGACTTTAGCAAATGGACATAAGGGGGCAAAACACACAGCAAGTCTTTTTCCCAAAGAAATAAAACCTCTTAAAGAACAGGGCCACTGCACGTATTTTTTTCTTACAGTAATCCTCCTCTACTCCTGAAAGCCCTCGTGACAATTCTGCTCTCCAGCTCTCACCTCAGAAACAGCCATTTGCTTTGGGGTTCCCAATGTATCCCTGCAATATTGTAACACCTGAGTGACTGTTCTGCTTGGAAACAGAGAAAAAAGAAACACACAGTTCCGTATCTCTCCTAACAAGTAGTTTTTAATGTCAATGTCTAGCAAGTCTGAAATTCTGATGATATGAAACTAGATTTCAGCTGGAGATCAGAAATCTGATTCCACACTTAGAAAGCTTCAATTAAGAGATTACTTCAGTCTCTTTCTTATAAAGGGACTTCAATATTAAAACTGTTGGGGATACACAAATACACTGAGAATTATACTTTTATCAGACAGAAGAGAATGGGCTGAGTACAGGGTACTGAGTGTCTGTGATCAGCACGAGGGCAGACCAGATGACTAAAAAATTCTGTGTCATCTTAAATTCTCTTAATATATCAGATTCACTGCGAATTCTGCTAAGGTTCTGCCCTAAAGCCAAACAATCCGAAGAAGATTCTATGCTGCAGCCACTTCTTTTAAGTATCTGATCCGCTCTCCTTACTTTTAAAATGCAGCAACACACCAGGGTCTTTGGACCTAAAACCTGGTGTGAATGCAACACATCTTGCAGTACTTGGTTCTCTTTGTTTATCCTCAAAAGAACCCACTGGACTAATTTCTACAGGAGTCTAGAAAATACATATCTAGGTTTATAAAACTCCTAAGCATAACAGTAAGAAACAGATGATCAGGACTAGTTAACAATTTCATGATAATTGCTTTATCAGCTGATCTGTTCCAGAGGTGGATACTAGTAATACAAAAATAAAACAATAATTTAGGATGAAGATCTACTGTAAATTATTTGTAACGTGTTGCGAAAACACTGCTTATTTTACTGCAGGAATGAAAAGAATGGGGCTGCAAGTGAGGAAGTAAGATCTGAAGGAAGAATTTTCAGTGTATATGTCATACATCTGCATCTTTAACCTGGTCACTGTCCTATTCTGAGTGTCTCACCACTTTTGTAAAACCTAAATTTGTTTGAGCTACAAAACAGAGGACTTATGCTCTGAAGTATGCTTCCCACATGGTGACAGAGCAGCTGCTGCTGGTATAGACCTGTAGAAAGATTTGTAACATAATAGCACCCAAATGCTACAGATAAAATGAGTTTGAATGGTATTGGGCAACACATACGCAAGAAGTAAAAATGGACTTTAAAGACAGCCTTCATTTAAATATTTAAGCACAAAGAAATTGATAAAAATACGAAGCAGAAACTACAAATTAAAACCAAAAAAAAGCAACAAACCATAAACACCAGTATTGAGCAGAATAAATTTTTAGCATAGTAAATTTAAAGAAACTTACATGCAAGGGGTTCCACTTGCCAGCCTTCCAGCACAGCACAAGGGAAAGGATAAACAAGCAGAGTAAGAGAGAGTATGAAGCACCCTTTGAAGTCACTGGTGTAATTCAGACAGGACATCTGAGGCTAATAATCGCTAAAAGCAGAGGAGAGTGAAGTATGGCTTCCAGGCAAAATACAGTTCATGAATGCACTGTCTTCCATACAGAGTGAGTGGCAGACTCTGGGCTCCGTCCAAGGCAAGGCTGAGCTCTCCAGTACATTCATAGAAAGCAGTTTTCTGCAGAACAATCCCATTCACTTCAGGGGTGGTCACATGTCTAAAACATCTACTCATGAGTTCTAGCTCTACTCTTTAAGGACAAAATGCCCTACACTTCACATGATCTGTGTTAGTGCTACCATCTAAATGTGAGCATCATATCTGCACGGCAAGTGTAGTGGGGCTAGTATTTCTGCGAATTTTATCTTCCTGACAAATGTAACAATGGCAGCAAGACACTATATTTTATCCCAAATAGTCTTGCTGTAGGACTCTTGGAAAAAAACACATGTAGCCCTTCATAGAACCTACCATTACCACCAAAACCCCAAAGAGGCTGTGATTTGTAATTTTGCCACTAGCAAAGGCAATAGATTTTCAACTTTTAATAGTATTGCTATCACTACCAGCTGGAAAACTAACACTTTGCTAACAACTACTATAAAGAATAAAACCAGAACTGGCAGCCCCAAGAAAGCAGTTTGCTTGGGTTTTTTTCTTTTTTTAATCCAATTTCCCTAATGTAGTTTGGTTCAGTGTACTGGATTATAAAAGAGAACTGTGGAAGTACATAAAATACAATCACTATAAAGAGTATAATCTTGCTAGAAGAAGTGGAATAAAGTTACCATGAAAAGAAAGAAGAGTTCACATAAAACATCTGTCTTCAGCAATGTGTTATGAATTAGAAAGAAAAAGTAACCGAAGTCAGTGACCCTGTACTGGTACTGAAAACACTAAAATCCTATAGAACCATGCTGTCTTACCTTGCCCTTTGATATAGCTTTGTAGGCCGCCTTTATGATTAGGTAAGACCAAAAACAGTGCAGAATTTGAAGAATCACAAGCAGCACGTTGAAGACCCACAAGGCAGGAAAATTGCCCAGAGCTTCAAACAGTTCAAACAACGTTGTGTTTAATATCCTAGAACAGAAACGGACAGAAAAATAGTAACACTTTCCTTAAACCAACAATCTAAAAGAATCCCTTTTAAAATCAAGGTAAGTACTTGATTAGATGCGATCCACACAGTTTGTTCTGAGTGACTCGGACTGAATCCCATGGGTGTCTCCAGAGAGAAACAACATAAAAATGTTGCTTTCAGTGTTTAATTTAATTTTGCAAACCTCAGAATGATCCTCAGAGTCTTGCATCTGAACCCCTCTCTCCCAAACCCAACCTCAAAGCTGATGGGTTTATTTCAGTGTACACAGGTATGGATGTCTTTGCCCTCTTGGTATCAGCAATTTGAGTGATGTGCTGTGTGGAACTGAAAATAGCCTGAGACTGCTCAACTGAAGTGAAACTTCAGCAGCATGTGAAACAATGGCACATGTGTGTCAGGATTCAGCCTTCTGTGGGATTTTCTAACAATGGGGGACTTTGGCTGAGTATCCCCACATAGACGCTTATATAGTGAAAACCTCAGCACCAACAGGAATATAAAGTCAAAATAATCAACTGGTAGAGGTGCTGAACCCTGGGTACATGCACTAACCACTGAAGTATTGGATAGCTCTGGTGACCATTTGTCCTGGGTTCAGCAGTAGCAGTCATTTTTCTCCTTCTCAGTAGCTGGTGCAGTTCTGTGTTTCTGACTTTCAGCCTGGGAACACTGCTGATAACACCAATGTTTTTAGTTACTGCTCAGTAATGTTTACTCTGACCAAGGACTTTCTGAGTTTCATGCTCTGCCAGGGAGGAAGGGAAGCTGGGAGGAAGCAGAGACAGGACACCTGACCCAAACTGACCAAAGGGGTATTCCATACCACAGCACATCATGTCCAGTATATAAACTGGGGGCAGTTACTCAGAAGGGACAGATCACTGCTTGGGTTCGGCTGTGTATCGGTCGGTGGGTGGTGAGCAGTTGTATTCTCTTCCCTTGTTATTTCCCTTATCATTATTATTATTGGTGGTAGCAGCAGTGGTTTGTGTTATACCTTAGTTACTGGACTGTTCTTATCTCAACCTGTGGGAGTTACATTCTTTCAATCCTCCTCCCCATCCCTCCGGGAGCGGGTGGGAGGAGGGAAGAGTGAGTGAGTGGCTGCATGGTTCTGGGCTGCCGGCTGGGCTTAAACCATGACACCATTTTTTGCACTAAATCCAATTTTCACACCACTTAGGTACAAGCAAGAGCAAGATTTAATGGTAATATAAAGGACAGGTGGACAATAGGGATACATGTGGGCAGCAAGGCGTGAGAGATCTTATTGTGGCCTTTCAATACTTAAGGTGTGCTCATAAGAAAGATAAGAAAAAACTTTTTAATAGGGCCTGTTGCAACAGGACAAGGGGCAATAGTTTTAAAATAAGAGGAGAGATCTAGTGGTAAAACACTGGAACAGGTTGCCCAGAGAGGTGGTAGATGCCTCATCCCTGGAAACATTCAAGGCCAGGTTGGACAGAACTCTGAGGAACCTGATCTGGTGGAAGATGCCTCCACCTGTGGTGAAGGGAGTGGAACTAGATGATCTTTAGAGGTCCTTTCTGACCCAGACCATTCTGTGATTCTATGAAATTCTGGCAGTTCTAGACATTTGAACTGAGTTATTGAGAAACAACATTTCAGATGCAGGCAGTAACAGTGATGTTGCAATATGACTTCTGAAGCTTGTGAATACCACATTAACTTTTCCAATTCTAACTAGCCCAAAGACTTTGCCATAGTGGATGATTTCAATCTGGACCTCAGCAAACAGCCTGAGAACAGAGAGTGAGTTTCAACAGAGAGTTGAAACAATGTTATTTTTGGAAACAAATAATGCTCTATGAGTACCTATTATTTGGGGAGAGAAAAAGAAGGCAATATAAGGCTTTGTCAACCTCCAACCATTTTCCCTGCTGGTGTAAATATGCATTATAAAGTCCATTGGCTTTATGTTTTCTTTTTTTAAATTAACTATCAACCGGCTAGCCACTAGATGGCACATTTAATCAAGCAAACGACTGTACAGCTCTTGGGCTGCACCAGTTTTGTCTGAAGGCAGGAGATGCAACTGAGGTCCTTCAAGGGCTTCAGAATAGCACAGCTCTCATTTGAAAAGAGAGATATTTGGCTCAGCTTCTTAATGGGCAAACACATTTCCCACAATCCTTTCCAAGAACATAAAAATCAGCTCAAGTTGTATTAATAAGAAGTTATTCGCAGACAGCAAACCCAGAACACAATATTTAGTGGTGATGATTTATGTGTATGAACAGCATTGGTAAAAAATCAGTGATTGCTAACGCACCGGCCTTAATACTTGTAGGACACTTCATAATAAATTTTCTACATTTTTATTTTTGCCTTCCTACACTAAACTGCATGTTTGCTCCGTAATTTATTGTGAAGTATATGTTTTATAACCTTACTATATATCAGTGTTTCTACACCGTCTTCTGCTTAATGGAGTGAACATCAGAAAAACAAACTGTTTTCCAGTTTGCAAAAACTCCATCACAGCTATAACTCTTCAGTCTCAGCTTTGTGTAATTTATTCTGCCAATGGTAGCTCTACATGGCACAGCGATATCCCAGTTTATAATTCAAGGAGGTGCTCTCATGCATATCAAAACACAGCTGTCATCAGCACTGTTTTACTTCACCAGTTCCTATTTCAGTTCTAACCACTATAACAAATTCAAACTTGAAATCAACAACTCCTGCGTGTAAAGCTACCATTGTTTATATCCACAAACTGTCTTTTTTCACATGTAAAATCTTATATGCTTCAGAATTGTAAATGCAGTTTCTATAGGTTTCTATTTACATTTTCATTCACTGAACCAAAATGACCTCTGGGAACTTCCACAGCAGTCAAGTTAAAACAGCAGCCTTAGAGATGCAGATGTCTGTTCCCGCAGAAGTCCAAAATATCAGGAAGATAGCAAGGCCAAAACCAGTGCTTCTGGTTCCTAAAGCAGTTTCATCGTGCAAATAAGTCATCCGCTATGTATTAGATATGGCAAATAAGCCTTCAATGAAAAAGCAGATCTCTTTCTAACCTGCTCATGCCTGGCAAACTAAGGGCAGGACTGGAACTCCCCATTAAAGCTGCATAAAGACCCCTGTAATTGCTCAGCATTCCTAACAGGGGTCAGTGACCTGATGTGGAGGGTAGGTGTGCAGATGGCGCTAAGGCTATGTCTAAGCATGTAGGGCTGAGCAGAAACTGAATGAAAAATACAGAAAACTATAAAAAAATGGAGGAAAGTAAATAATCTTTCTCTCTCAGAATACATCAATTGTTTCATGTCAAGTCTGAAATGGGGGGAAAAATCCTAAGGTTAGTAAGCAGAATACAGACAGAAATTCTTACAGAGATGGAGGAAGGGAAGGAGGCAAGCAAGGTTAAACAACTTTCCACCAATTCCACTGCTGAAAGTATTTGACAGAAGCATTTTAACCAACTACACAAATAATAGACAGGAAAAAGCAACATGAGAGTGGATTACATGAAGAGAAAGTGTGTATATGATGTATATGCAAACAAATCTTAGTTGCAGATACTCAAAAAGGTAATCAGGCACTTAAATCTCCAAATGTGCTTGCTAGAATTTTTCAAAGCTCTCCAGTGGTTAAATCCCAGCTTTTCATAATGAATAGTGGAAACTGACTCTTGGCTATCTGACTTGAAACAGCTGGACTTGATCTCACAGGGATAAATTACTGTAAGCTGCAAGTGCTCTACCTCTCTGAGCACTGGTCAGCATTTCTTGGGTCTCTACTATTTGAAACAAAATGTTAGCTTCTGGTTTTGAAAATAGGTTCTGGACTGTAGCAATTTTTCTGAGGTCCTGAGAGATTTTGATATCTGGACAAAACTATATAATCTCATGGAAAGTAGTCTTCCCTTGTTAAATGCATCCCAAGCAGGGTCATGCACCTGGCCACACAAAGATCTCAGTTTAGTATCCTGAATTAAGTATTGTGGTTGATGAAGGCAAATGAAAAGAAATTCACCACTTAAGATTGAATCTACTCTTACAGAACTGTGGGGTAGACTTTCAGGAATGCTGCCACAATGTCTGAGTCACTGGGAGAGGTAATTCTGTACTTACTTTACTGCAGCTGTAATTGAACACTCAGAATAAAATTTACACATTTTCAACAACTACTAGACAATGAGCTGCATCACACCAACAATAAAGAAGTTTTTCTTTTCTCTACTGTCTAAATATCTAGCAAGAGAAAAGCAGTACTTGGAAGGCTATCAGCAACAGGCCCATACACTGACTCAGGTAAGATTACACTCCTTTCTCTCAACTTAGCTGGCACAACTCCGGGCTCTTGGATAACACTAATTCTTGGCAAGTTATCACTTGTCTTCCACCAGAGACGGAGGGAGAAAAGAGAGATGAAGGAAGAAAGATAAAGAGAGAGGGATGGTGGAAGAATAAAATGCTTATTTACATTTGTTTGAGCATTGCCAAAAATGTGCTGTGTTTGCTTCTGAAAGGACCCTGAGAAGAGTGAAAGGAGGTGAGAAAGAAGGCCATGTGGAAAGAGTAGGCAATCTTCCAGACAGGCAGGAAATTCATTATAAACTCTGCAGAATGAAGCATAGCAGGGTGATGGCACTATCATCACATCCAATGAGAGCAGAAACCATGCAGCTGAAATGAGCTACTTCAAGTTGCCTTAACTTCTGCAGCACTGTGCAGTGACCAGCATATTATGCATGCAACATGCTGAATGAAAGGCATGTTGTTACCACAGTGCAATAGTCAGAAAGTCTCAAAGTATAACCAAGGACAGCAAAACATGATACTAGTATGCCTAACTAATTCAGAGTAAATGTCTTTATCTCTTTTACCAAGTGTATATTAGACAAGAATATTCTATACTGCACCATAACCAGCTGCACTGGGACATCCTTCAATACCGAAAATAGATAATTACATCTAGGTGGGAATTAATAAAATTCAGATCCTAT